AAACCAGATCGTTGTGATACAGGAGGGCTGAGTGAGTCTTGGTTTAGGTGGGACAGCAGCTTGCATCCCTGTTCTAATAGTTGTTTTTTCTTCCTGACTCCCCAAATCCTTGTGCAGGATATGGGATTGGATGATGGAAGCTTAGCTCGATAATCTTGTCCTTTTAAAATGGGCAAAGAAAATAAATTGTTTTGGAAAATAAGCCAAATGTGCATGGTATGGTGCTTTTTCCACCATTTTTTGGCTTGTGAGATCAGGGCTTCTACTCTGGTTAAGCAATATTCCTCAAAAGCATTGCCCACTTCCCCCTATTTCTTCCATATATTTATTTCACTTCTCGGGACATTTGCCTGAGTTAAACAAGCTTGAATATCTTACAGGAGGGCACACATTACTGATTTCGGTTGATTTCAGTCTCATAAAAGGGAGGAGGGCTTTGCCCAGCAATACATGGTCAGACTGCTACAGAGAGCTCATCCATGAAAATCCTACACAACACCTCAGGTGAGAGAACTAGAGGAGTTGAGGTAATGCATTACGTATCTCTGGGAAGCACAGGTACTGGTATCCCCACCTGTAGACACACGTAAGGTCATCCTATCCCATCATGATGCAGGCCATGAGAACTGGAGCTATTGGAGGCCACAGGCAAAATAATTGGCTGTTCTGGGCATAGAAAAGACTTAAATCAGCCCCTGGCTGTTCCAGACCCTTGAAATTGTTCAACCACAAATCTCCTGATGGCTTTCCGATTATGCGAATGTAAACGACATCCACAAACTCAGACTCATTAATGAACAAGATCTTAGAAAGGAGCCGTTCAATGCACAGAGCAATTAACGCAGCAGTTGATTAAGGCAGTTTGAGGGTAAGTCTTATGAAGAATTAAAAATTGCAGCATTGCTTCAGATAGGCTCTTGGCAGAGGCACAAAATCTCAACAAACCTTTGCTGCTAGCAGCAGGCATGCAGGTTTCCCAGCTCCATCTGGGACTCCCAGCACCCAATAGCATTCAGTTGTTTTATATAAGAAGGTGCAAATACGGAATCACAGACAATCATTAAGGTTGGAAAAGATCTTTAAGACCCCCAAGCCCAATCCCAGCCCACCCCCACCTTGCCCACTGATCACATCTCTCAGTGCCACATCTCCATGGTTCTGGAACACCCCCAGGGACGGTGACCCCACCACTCCCTGTCCATCACACTCCTTCTGAGAAGATCTTTTCCTAATATCCATCCTGAACCCTCCTGAAGGGGTTGAGCCCAAGCTAAGGAAGAGAAAAAATGGATGACCCCCCATGAGGCTGAGAATAGAAACAACGACACTGCAAGACTTGGGCCAGGCAAACCTACTGATCACCTGCTTGCTTGCAAGCAACCATCCACTTTTCTCCTTCTTCAAACCTTCATTCCATGTTTGTTCTCCTCAGATGTACTTTGTTCCTCCCCATTCCTCACTTTTGACCTTTCCAACAAACATTCCATAATAAGTTTTGAACATTCCCACAGAGATTTTCAGCTAGCTGAGAAGAAAATTGTCTTTCTGCTGAGGCCCCTGGTAATCTACTTTCCCCCTTATTATCAATGAGAAAGTTCTGTCTGAACATCAGTGAGGTGATGTTTGAATGGCCTATCAACACATGCCTTCCCAATTCAGACCATTGGTGTTGCTGCATTTCCATACTAAGCATTAGGGCTTATGTATCTATCTGCTGATTTTTGTTCTCTTCTTGTCCCTCATCTCTTTGTACTGATTTGGATATCAGAGCCCAGCCGTGCTGTGGTGATCCTCTGCTCTCACACACCATCTCAGCAGCACTGTCACACCACTGACAACTCGGTGAGAACAAGAGTGCTCTGATCAGCACATGCAGTGACTACAGCTATGGCACAGTACTAGATCTTTCTGGATACAGTAGGTTCACCAGTTTCATTTTCCCCTTCCACAGAATGGAGATGGCATTGAGTTTCCTGCCCTTTGCTGAGTGCTTTGGGGCGTGCAGTGCAGAGGCGAAGTTCTCTCACCAGCCCTAAGCATTAGTACTACTACAATTGTGAGCAAGTAGGAGAGGTGACTCATTCTCCTAGGAAAATACTGCTTTCATTCGGAGCCTGGAGCACTTCCCAAAAGTAATTAACTAGGAGAAACTGCTAATTAAAAGACCTTGTGTCTACAGGAGTACTTGGCAGAGGTGGGTGTCATCTTGCCAGCTTTCAGGTGCTAAGAGATGATGCTTGAGCGCAAAGCCCTGTAGGTGCTGCTGCCTGCTCTGCCCCAGTGATGTCCTGGCTGCATGGATGCTGGTTGTTCCCAGCAGTGAGATGTGAGGACAGCAGCTGTGGGGTTTTCCTCTCCCCTGAGCTCTCTGGGAAGAGGCTGAGGTCCAGCTGTCAAATCTATTACACCCTGCAATGGGGTCTTGGTGCAGATTCACCATCAGTCAACTTGAGGTTTTCTGGCACCACTCCTGGTGGGCTGATCCCTCATCCCCAGCCTTATCTAGGGTGTTGTTTCTGTGCAGAACCACAAAGAACATAGCCATGCAAGAAAGAAAAAAAACAAAACCACATAATACCAACAGACATCTCACCCATGCAGATCCACTGGTGCCTGGCTGAGCTCAGCCAGTACAATGGGGAGGGAGGAAGAGAGGAAGGGTTTTCTTTCTTTCTTCTTCTTCATCTTTTTTCCCACCCAGTGCATTATACCACCAGCACTTTGTGTTGTGTGCGTTACTTGTCTGTCCCTGGAATATCAGTTTCAGTCTCTTGGCTGGAGGGGTGGCTCTGATGAATGGATGGGTTGTGCTGGTGGCAGCTGCAGCATGGGAAGAACTATCAGCCATATGATGCCAGTTCTGATCCAAAGGTGTGCCCCAAGGCTGGGAAATGGCTGTTCTAGGAATGCTTTCCGCCTGGCTTGCTGCTCAGAGGGACAATGTGGGCTGAGATGAGGCAGAGGTTGTGCTCTCCAGGGCATCTCTGTGCTCCCACAGCGGTGGCTGGGCTGAGCTCCAGGCACAGCATCACTGAGAAATGAGAATCAGTTACTTCTTTAGCGCTGTTCCAGCCATCTACCTTTGGCATTAATGACTTGCAAATGTGCTTGGGTCATTAAGGTAATAACTTGTCACTGTGGGATCCAGAGACTGGCAATGTCAGAGGAGCTCTTTAGGACTCAGCAGCAACTGTAAGCAGCACTCTTCCAGCTGCTTTCATTTACACTTTTTATGGCTTGGAGCACGAGTAGCTTTAGATAAGACGTAGGTCCTCACCATGTCTACCTCCAGATCCTAATGGCCAATAGCACCAGCTGGGCATTGCAAGCATCCCCTCCCTGCAAGAGGAGGAGGGAGAAAGCCAGGCTGTGCTTTGGGATGCGACTGTGTACCTTTAATAGAAAGCACAGGTAATCAGACCTGGGAAGAAATTATTTGTGCCCAGGTCTTCTCTTATTCTCTCTGTGTACCACTGTAGATTTCACTGAAGTGACTCCAATTTACACCCCGTCAGGAAAGAAAGAGTTAGCTCTTGCGTTTTCAGCTGTAGTAAATTATTTTTAGGAACCACAGCATTCATCACGAAAGCTTCTCTGTCTCCTCCTGCAAGGAAGGACTGAATAATGAATGAATACAGCGCTGGACTAATATCTACTGCTCAGCCATCCATGGGAACGGGCTGAGCAGACTGCATGCACGCTGCTAGTGGACAAGGCTGTGTGATTCTGCATCCTAGGATCACCAGTATGTCCAGGAACCCTGTACACTCCATGCAGCACAGCAATCACAGGACCTCATTGCTCCTGCATCCTGCAGGACACTGGGGCAGAGCATAGCCCTGCAAGGCTGTGACAACCCCTGCGACCAGGGAGGAAGTTTTTCACACAGAGGGTGGTGAAGGACTGGAGGCCCAAGGAGGCTGTGGATGCCCCATCCCTGCAGGCATTCAAGGCCAGGCTGGATGTGGCTCTGGGCAGCCTGGTCTGCTGGTTGGGGACCCTGCACATAGCAGGGGGTTGGAATTAGATGAGCACTGTGGTCCTTTTCAACCCAGGCCATTCTGTGATTCTATGATTCTATGAACAGTGAGGACCCCTGAAGCCTTCAGTGATGTTTGGTGGTTCACTTCTCAGGTGTTGCTGGTCTTTGCTGCCTGCACCACACTCAGACCAGTGGTAGTAATCTCCTCGAGCAGTGGATAGACGTTATGTGGATGGATGCCCTGCTGAGGCTGCTCAGGGCCCTGCTGATGTACCCAGAGCCAAAAATACGCTTGTTTGAAAGACTGGAAGCACTTGATTTGGGGAGAAAAATTTGAAAACCACTTTCCCTTGCATCAATTTCTTGTTGCGGGTGGGTTCCAGGTGCTTGGTATGCGCAACCTGCAGAAGCACAGCCTTTAAACCTCAGCCCAGGTTGATGTTTAGCACCGGCCACACAAGGATTGCATCTTACTCTCTCAGATGTTGCCCTTCAGTCAGGTTGAACTGTTTAATTCTTCAGGCCCATAACTATTTCAGGTCATGTACTAATGGGCTTGAAATCAGTTATTGTGCAGGGAATGATAAATGACTGTACACTGCGGCTAATGAAGGGGATAGATTATTGGGTTATAAATCAATTAAGTGGTTCTGAGGAAGTTGCAAACCGCAAGAAAAAACCACGAAGGAAGAGAACAACATCCGACATCTGGGGATGGGTGGGAGGCACCAGCTGCCATCAGCCATTACGTTACCTCTCAAGGGAAACGAGCACAGCACTGGTATGCATGGCCATCCTTGTTTTGATGGTGGGAACCGGTTTGTGCTCTGTGGTTATCAGGGGGTGTATGGGAAATGTTGAGTTAGGGCCTGAGCCACTGATGGAGCACCTGGGGAAAGGAACCCTGGGAGCACAGGTGAAGGCAATTCAGCTGTGTGATAGGAAGGGATGGAGCCTGGCTGCACTTCTCCTAGGTCTCATTTAAGGGCTGACTGCCACTGGGGAAGGATCTCTTTCTGGGCATCCCTCCTTGCTAGAGCTTTCCCTGCTGAGCCTAGAATCTTCTGATACAGGTGAGCAATCTTCTTCCCTTCCTTTATAGCACCTCTCTATCATGCTAGTCCTACAGCTCTGCTGTAATGCCTTTCCTATTGTATTGACCTGTCCAATTGCTACAGGGGGTTACTGACAGCAGGCTGCCTCTTTCAGGAAATACCTGGAACCTCTACACAGCATTAAAAATGACTACATGTCTTGTGCTTCCTCAGGTGGTCAGGATTTATTTGGTGTGTGGTCTAGAACTGGCTGTGGTGACCATCCAGGGAGACTGCTGCTTGAAACAGATGTGTCCAGAAAAGGATGTGCCTACCCCAGGCCACAGTCCCAGCATTTCAATTTGCTTCAGGGTTTTCCCTTCAGTTTGGGAACTATTCTTATAGTCCCTCAGTGGGATGTTAAAAGGACTAGTGGGTGTCCTGCAAATCCTCAGCACTCTACCCTGGACAGTAATGTCCAATGGTACTGCATTTGTAATGGCAACTTAGGGACAATTTGGGCACACGTTTCTGTGTCAGAGGAGTGCACTTTGCCTGAAGGACACCCATCACATGCAGGAGGAGCTAGCTAGCAGCATGTTTCCTGAGTGTGTAGGGTGTCCCACCAAGGAGCCAGAGCATAAGAACTCTTGAACGCAGTTCTCAGTAAGTATAGATAGAGTGATGGATCTGGTGACTGTGAGGATCAAACGGAGTAATAGCATGTGCATCACTTTGTGAAGCAGCTGCAGGATTAACTTAGTTTGACTCTGGGCATTTGCATCATCTTATGGGCACGTTGGACAGGTTGGATATCAGAGAAAATGTCTTCTCTGGTAGAATGGGTGGATGCTGGAATGTCTGGGAGGCAATGGGCTGCCCAGGGAGGTGGTGGAATTGCTGTCCCTGGAGGTGTTCAAGGAATGTGTAGATGTGACATTTAGGGATGTATTTTAGTGGGCAACGTTGGTGGTAGGTAGACAGCTGGACTGGATGATCTTAGAGGTCCTTTCCAATGTTAATGATTCTATGATGCCATGAACAGTTCAGATGCCCCTCCATGACTTTCCATCATATAAAAGGTTCTCCTTACAGGATCTAGAGATTCCAAGGCTCTCAAGCAGACATACAGCACACAAAGTGTGAGCCTATACATTTCTTTGTTTTTCAACTCAAAGTTCTTCATGGTAGGGCTGGGAAAGTTGGCTGTTTGGGGAAAAGTGAATTACAAGGGGAATAAAACCTACTGTTATCTAGGGAGCTGCATGGTTTATGTGCTTCTCATTGTGTTCTGACTTGTTTTGTTCCGTATCAGCAAGCCTTTAGAAAACCAGCAATGCAGCATTTTCAAAATTCTAATGAGCTTTTTTTCCTAATAGTTATCTAATGAGCTGTGGCAAGCAGCAAAGAAGCCTGTTGTATGCTTTAATGTCTTTAACTACGGTGTATCTTGGAGGCAAAGTGTCTCAAGGGAGGAATGGATTTGAAGCTAAACAGATACCTTAGAGAGTGGGGTTTGTCCTCTATGACTGGTGATGTTATCTAGTGCAGGTCTGGCTGATGCCATTGCAAGCATTAAGCTATGTGTATTCTTGGGTGTGTAACATCCTCTAGTTCAGTAGGAACCAATTTACAAAAGCATACATACTCCTCACCAAGGATACTGTGTCCTGAGCATGGTTTGGCTGCTCTCAAACACCTTTCACTGAAAACAAAATATCTTCAGGGGAAGGAGGGGAGCTGAGGAGCTCAGGCATTTTCATCTGTCTGCAGTGACCCTGCCACTGATCATCACACCTGGGCATCTTGGATCTTGTTTGAACTCGATGGCTTTTCCAGCCCTTTCTCCAGCACACAGGTAGGATGCGTATCTTCAAAGTAAGACATGCATCTCTTTGATATGGGTGCTCAGGCCCCTGGACAGATCCTAGTGGGTTAGGGAACTTCCCAAAGTAGCTTCTGTGCCTTGTTTTGCACCTGAAGGAAGGTTGGCAATGGTTTTGTTGTGCTGTCTGAGGGCATCCCTTTATATAGAACTGCAAGTTTCCAGGTAGAGCATTTGTCTCCCAGACCCCAGCATTCAACTTCTGGTTTCAGAGCAGTCTGAAAAGCCCATCTAGTAGGAGCCAGTGGTGGTCACGAAAGCATTTTGTTATGTTGGGGAGAAAGCTATCACAGGATCAATCTCTTTAATACACTGGGTTATTGTTAAGAGGCCTGCAGAAGGGATGAGCCAGCTGTCTCTTTGCCAGTATTTAAAGAGCTCCACCTAATCAGCCTGCATCTCCTCCAGTAGGCAATTTTTCTTTTAGCAATACCTCTCCATGCTGCAAGAAGTCACTCAGTTCTCACACATTTGTATGGAGAGTCATAGGAAAAGAATTTCCACCTACAAAATCCTGCTGGGAAGCCTTTAGAAACGCCTGCATCTTCAGTATTCAGGTGCTGAACTTCCACCAGGGTGAGTGCTCAGGTGATAACTCTCTGCTTTTGATCTATTGGATTTTGCAGTGACTTTGGTATGGTGATGAGACTGCAATATCCCATAATATATAGCTGTTTCTAGCAAGAGCTCTGCTGTAATTGTATTTATGAGCAGAATACTTATAGAGGCCTTCAGGGAGCTTCAAGTGTAAAAACATTCCTATAACAACATATAGACAGCCAAGAGCCAAACAATTAATTTCTTGACTGCAAGTGGTGATTGGGGGCTCTGTCTTGGGATACAACATCCATTAATGTTGAAGGGAACGAGGCAGCTGCTGCTGGACACTTACTCTTTCCTATGTGCTTTGTATACAGTGCCTCAAGATGTTGCTGCTTTGGCTGAAATTAACTTAATAATGGCCTTCCTCCTCCAGTTCAGACATCCCGTAGAGTGACGTTAATCATTCCTGTATGCATAGTACAGCAGAAGAAGTCATGTTGCACTTAAGGATAACTTAGAAGGGTGAGAGGAAAGGAGATTCACTCCGTCATTTTATGAAATGACACAAAGTATTCCATTAATTGCTTTCAGATTCATCTGGAGAGTTTTCCACTCAGCAAAGCATCACAGAAAACTGCTGAAGCCAATGACTTCGAAAGCATGAAAGGACTTCAGCATTTATATAGGATTATGAATAATGCCTGTGATTGTCATGGAGTCCCAGTATTACGAAGAAAAAAATATGTTGAGAGTTGAATTGTATCCTTCAAACACATTGTAAGCTTCTTTGTGAGGAGAAGTTCCAATCTGAGTGCTGCAAAGCCCTTCCAGAGCAATAATGTGAGGGCAGCTGTGCCTGTATTGCTGCTCAGCTTGGGTATTAAAAAGCAGTCATTGGGACTTGGTTGCACCCTTCTGGTTTCTCATACATCCCTGGCTGCATTCAAACAGGCGCTGCAACAGCTGGTGAAGGGAAGCTAAGAAGTAGAAAGTGCTGTCTTAAGGCTTGGGACTGGGCTGTTCATGCATAGAGAGAATTAAAGGTATCTGTCTCCCAGGTAAAAGCTTCCGCTGTACAAGAGGCTTTGCTCAGAACAGCTCTACATTGAGAAAATCTCTTCAATAATGACATGCTGGGCTTCAGCTGGCCACCTGCAGCAACCAGGAGGAATTTCCCCCAAGAAACCTTGTCTTCCTATTTTAGGGGGGGAGTTTCTTAATCTCCTCTAATGCATAAGGATAACTGCAGCTGGAGATGCAATACCTGCCAGTGGGATTCTCCTCAACGAAGCAGCACTGGTTTGAAGCTCTTAAAGCTCTACTGGAGAGGCTTGTGTGCGTATTTGTGTTTCCAACTGAGCCTGCCTTGATGTGCACTGCTAGAAAGCTGGTTGTATTTATACAGAACATAGTTTGTAAACCCATATTGTGTTTTTGTTGTGTGCTAAGGGGAAGGCATTACGCATCTTCAGGGATTCTGGGATAATTAGCAAGAACAAGAAGAAAGAACAATGACTGCTGATGCTCACACATCCCTTGGACCTCTGGTTCCTCCCATGGGGTGGGATGAACCAAAGTCCTTTTCAGCAGATGCCATCCTGTGCTGCACTGTTTCCCATCTGTAACTACAGACCTCTGAGACCTGAGAGTGCTGATTAATTGCAGGCAACATGAAGGGGTGGAAGCCCTGCACCTGGAGACTTTCAAGGCCAGGCTGGACCAGGCTCTGAGCAACCTGATAGAGCTGTGATGTCCGTGTTCATTGCAGGGGAGTTGGACTAGATGACCTTTAATGTTCAGTTGGACTAGATGACCTTTAATGTTCCTTCCAACTCTAAGGATTCTATGAGGTTGGCAAGAAAACAAATCTTGGGGAAAAAATGCTTTTCCATGCAGGAATGACACTAGGAAGGGCAAAACTCACTGGGAAATGATAGGGAAACAAGAACTTCTATTGGTGTGTTAGTAGCAAAATGAATTAATAAGGAACCTACAGTTGCACTGTTGAATGAGAAGGATGTGATTCAAAGGCAATGGATATAAAGAAGGTGGAGGAAATCTGTGCCTTTCTTTGTATTCTCTACTGATGAGGTCTCTGTGCTCAAAGAAAAGGTTTAAGGAGAGGAACTCTTACCATTAGTGGAGGAGGACTGAGTCAGGGATCTCCAACCTATGTGAATTCATGGGACAAAAGAGGATGCATTTGAGCTGGTATCCTCCAGAACAAGAGATAAAGTGATTAAATTAGAGTAAGTCAGTCACGAAGTTGGTACATGTGGCACCCAAGGAGAGGCTGATGGAACTTGTTTGGGCTGGAGAAGGATAGATGGAACCCAAACAGCACCTTCTATTGCTAATCAGGAGGTATTAGAAAGGCTCTTTGAGGAAAATAAGAAAGAGTGGTTCAAGTCTGAAATAAGGAAGATCCAGACTAAATAGTAGAAAGGAAATGTGTAAAGATGTTTAATGTTGGAATAGGGGCCCCAAGCACTTTGCATGACTTCCTTTGGAGGAAGGAGGCCTAGCTGGACAAAGAACAGAGTGGTTCAGTTTGGTCCAAGATCTGAGCCTGAGGTTGGACTAAAGGACTCCTGACATCCCTTCTAGACTGAGTCATGATGTGATGCAGCTCACAGGAATCAGTGCAGTCAGGGGCTTATCTGAAAGTCTGTAATAAAAGCTTTAAATGTGAGCCTGGAGAGAGGACTCCCTGTCCTCCTTGGAAGCAGCTGGTGCTGGCTTGTGTCAGAAGTGCCTGTAGCTCTGCGCTGGGGTGACCACACTGGAGATCAGGTCCTGCATGATGCTCTGACCCTGTGCTACTTCTGTTTTGCATACTGATACAGCTACATGAAGGTGTAGGCTGTAGAGGTCAATGGATCTGTGTTTTCACCTTTTTCTCTTGCCAAAGCAAAATCACAAATACTTTGGAAAAGCTTTCCCTAGTTGAGAATTTCTGAGATGGCTCCTAGCAAACAGGTGGTTTCCTCATTGCCCTTCTCTTCTCTTGGGTGCTGGCTCAGCAGTTGGCTTTAAACGTGACTTTGTCCAGAGTAAAAAGACCACCAGCAGCTTTTGAAGTTGGTATCTTCTGCTATGCTTTTGCCCATGTCCTTGTGCTAGGTTGTCTGCAGACAGATGAGTGCTCACACCCAGATAGTTCATCACTGAGGGTTTTTGCCCAACCCTACTATTGTTGGTGCTCATAGCATAGCCCAGAAGCTGTGACATCAACTACACTAAGCACTTTTCTTGAGATGCTGGTTTGGGACAGTATGGCCAGACACTGACCAGAATATAGTGGTATATCCATGTGCATTTCTCACTGAGCCATACTTTTCCCCAGCATCCCTGTGTTACACACATCAGTACCTGTGTTTGCATACAGGGTGCTGCAGGGACCCCCTCTCACCAGAGGGGACCTTAATGAAGGGGCAACTCCAGCTGCTCCCACCTCCTCCTTGGGAGGTGGTTGGGAAGGTGCAGAGCTGCTTGCCACTCGAAACTGCCACTAATTGGACCTTATTAAAAATTTTACTTCTGTTTGACAACAAAGCTGGAGCATTTATCTTTCCCCAGCAAAGCCATTAATTAACAACACAAATGGGCTACGCTGCCAGAACAGCAAAGCTCTGCCTGTCAATACAGTGACCTCACTGCAGCCCTTCTGCCAGCTCTGCAGAGAAAAGCAGCCACCCACACTGCCCTGTACAGGTCCACATGCAGATAAATAGCCTCTGCTGCTTGCTCTCGCTGGGTTCAAGCTGTGGGATTTCCTACTTCCTTTGTGAAGAAGCTAGCATGCAAGAAAGTGTCCTGGAAAACCCTCAGCTTGTTTAAAAAAAAAAAAAAATAAAAATTGAGAGAACTAATGACATGATTGAAGCAAGCTGTCCAAGAATCAGGAGAGCTTTAGATATCCTTGAGTCCTGGGGGTTGTGGCTAGAGTTTGTCTTGATGGCTGTGCTGCAGCAACAGTGTGCTTTCATTGTTGGATGTTGTGGAACAGGTGCTGGTTGGTGCTGTTGATGGCATTTTTTTTTTTTTGCAGAGGGCACTGTTAGGGTTAAAACCACATAACAATGTTCTGGCTTGAGAGACAGAATCATTGTGGTTGGAAAAAAAACCACTAAGATCACCTAGCAGAGCAGTGGCACTAGGGAGGGAGGTGAGTGCTGGCCCACTCCTTGCACTCTGCTCAGATTGGGAAAGAGACAAAATTCTTCCAGTTCCATTTGTGCAGCAGTGGTGGTGGGAGGGATGCTGCAAACCACGGTTCCAATTAGGTGCAGCACTGTGGCACCTGTCTGGATGTGACATGATAATGCACCTGCTAAACATTAGAAGAAGCTTCAGAGATTCAATGTGACACGTGTGAGGGAATAGCTGGAGTTTAGTCAACACGGCATCAGTTAGAAGTCTATATTTCCAATTATCTGCGGACAGTTTGCCTTCAAGGATAATTGGCTTCCTGAAGCTCTCTAGAACAGATGTCAGGGAGCTCTTTCTCTTCCACACAGAGGAAAATCTGGAATGGTTTACAGCACGTGGAAGTGTGGAGATGTCAGTGCTGGGGGATTTGGGGATCAGCATTGTGTTGCAGGAGTTTCCAAAGGAACCAGACCCCAGGAATGTGAGGGGCAATGGGTGCTGATGATGGGCTGTTGGGTTTTACACCTACACAGTGAGGCCAACCTGTGGTAATATCCTTGTCCCATGAGATGGGCAAAGAAGAGTTTAATATCCAAGCTCTGCAATGGCCCCTTTGGCAAGAGATGGACTGAAACAACAACCTGGAATGATGATGACCCCATTACCCTCTTATTCTTGGCCTCTGTGGATAATAACAAAAAGAAAATACTTCATTTGAAAGTCAGTGTTTGAGGAACTGCATGTAACTGGCATCTTGCAAACAAGCCTGGGGCAAACCTTGAGCCACAACCAAATGCAGCCTGAAAGCTTCTGCTCAGCAGCTCCAGGAAACCTGTGCTGACATCCAGCACAGTTCCTGCAGAAGAACTGATGGAGAAAGAAGGGAGCCCCAGGTGATGGGGACTATGGTGCTAAATGCACTGGTTCTTAGCAACATGTCCCATAAGAGGGGATGTGATATAACTACCTAAGCAATGGTGAGCAGCATCATACCTAAGAAAGCAAAGGAGAAGCAAGGACATGTGACAGCCCCCAGCAGTTATGTCTGAGGCTCCCAGTGCTGGGAGATGCTGGGCTAGGTAAAGGCTATGTGCCTTTGTGGTCTCCCTTTGCAGTCTGAGAAGGATCTGCTGCCTCCCAACAGCCTTTGTCAGCACTGTCCCTTGTTCAGACTGCTGCTGGACTGCTAATGAGGCAGTAATTGGCTCCATGTCAGCAGGATGGCAATAGCCAGGGACCATGTGCTGCACGTTCCCTGGAACAAGAGTAGCAGGAGAGCTGTGCTCTGGTCTCTGGACATGGTCCTGACCAAGCTTTGTTTACCCAAATAGCTAAAGGGAAAACATCCTTCCCCAGCACCCAGCTGTGCTGGGTGTGGAGCTTTTGTCCTGAATTTTACCCTGTTTTGGTGTTTCTGCTCTCCTGTGAAGGCACCAGCTGCGTGGTGCTAGTGCCCGGACTGCCAGGAGCAAGCAGGCCATAGGATCTGTTTGCAGATTATTCACAACTGGTTTTTTCTCTTCCATCTGCCTAACTTGACCATCTGGTACATTCTTCATTCCTATAGGATAGCAGCGAGGCTTCTGGGCCTGGCTTTCACTCCAATTCATCAACAGCAATAACACAGTTATCACAGAGCAGCTCTCTGACTCAGGTGTTTTGGCTTACCAGCATGGTGATATCACACATTATTGCCCTATAAGCCTTTCTGGATAGAAGTGCAATGACTGGATTAAGCGTCCCCAGCCTGCTTTCCATGTGCTCTGCCCACAGCAATCCTATCCTGTGCATTTCAGGGCAACTCAAGGCTGTTCTCCGTGTTGAATTGAAAGTCTTTTCTCTTTCAGCAAAAGGGGGTAGTGCAGAAACAGGTTTTGTTTCCATCCATTTTCCTCTGCTACACCAATAGATTGATACAGAGCCAAGCAATATTCCTTTGTGTGTGATCAAACTGCCTCTCTGGGCATAACTTTGGACAAATCCAGGTGTTTTCAGTAGAAACCTTTCAGCTCTTCTTGATGTGTTAAAGAGCACAATGCGGCTTGAGAAATGGAAATCCCACCACTAAGAAACATGGGGAAAACCTTTGAGGTTGGAGTTTTGCTTGGGTTATG